GATTAAAAATGGGATTTAGTCAAATTATGTTAACTTTTAAAATACTGCGTAGATTTGAGCCAGCTTAAAAGTTACAGGAAAATCCAGCTTAAAAACGGTAGCAAAAATGCCAAAATCCAATAGTGAAGGGCGGAGCTAGAAGGGGGTGAAGTTAAACAAACCGAGCTGTTGTGCGCGAGAAAATTTTGCAAAAATTTTGAATGATTTTTTTTTATTTGAATCGCCTCTGAGGCCCCAGTCGTTTTGGCTGAAAAACAATCCCAGCCGTCCGTAGGATTCTTTACCACCCTGCCAAATTTCATTTGTATGCGATCAAAAATGCGACCGCTAGAGAGCACTAGATTTTTGAAAGAAATCTACCTAAAATTAAACAACATACAGGTTTCTTGATATCAAATCGATTGATCGAAGTATCGAACCGGGAGTCAAAAAAGCCAAAGCGTGACAAGTTAAGAGGAAATTGATTTAATTTAGGGAAGGTTTATCGGAAGTTTGATCAGATATGAAGGTTTATATAATCCTGAAATATAACCCCATTAGCAAATTAAGGCTAAACTAAAACATATTACATATAACATATAACGTCTTCACTTGGCTCAGGGGGGGGGGATTGTAACTACGAGGTTATATGAACCCTCGGGGTACCGATGTTTTTGAAAAAAAGCCCATTGTCGGGTTCGATTGCAGGGCCGCTGGATTCGAACCCGGGACCTTTACCTTACAGTGATGAGCGCCGTGTCAACGCGTAAACTGTTGCGGCCACCGATGCCCCTGCAATTCCTCTTTTGCACCCCGTTTGGATCCGCCACTGCTTTAGCGTTAATGAAAACTATAATAACTAAAGCAAAAGAGTATCTCAAATTATAAACAGGTCAAATTATTTAAGGCAGTCAATCATTTGGTGTTCAAAATAACTGATGTTAATGAAGCATGGGCAAACTACGTTTTCCTAAATGACTATCTAAACAAATAAACTACGACATCGACGGACAAAATAAACATCATAAACATTGACGTTGATGAATCATGTAACAAACATTTCGAAATATCCTGTAACTGCAGGTGTTTATGTTTGAACAAAATGACATTCAAAAAATATACATAAAGAATTTTCTTTTAAAGTATTTCTGTTTTGCTAAATCGAAATTCAATTTAAGTTTAATTAAAAAATAAAAAGGCAGAAGGACAATATCGGCGAGGTGCGTTACAATCTTCAAGAGGCCCCATTATTGTGAGTGCGCCGTTTATCTTTGACCCCCATGAATATTCCATTCTTTATAAGACACTGGCGAGGGTTGTTGTCACTTGTGCTCATCCAACGAACACCAAAGGCGGAATTTTCAGGAATAGAAAAGCAACATTTTTTTCATAACAACGGGTTTAAAAAAAAAAAAGCGGCTTTAACGCCAAACGAAAAATTTAAACGGTGAACAGCTCTTGAGAGAATTAAAGTTCACTGTAATTGATGTCTTCTGAAATAGCTTAAGAAGCTAAACACGTTGGGTTATGGGTCGTAGTCTAACTATTTTTAGGTGCGCTTTCTCGTTCCAAGATCGGTACTTATCAGGGGATGCTTCGCTTGTACGGACTCCCTTGTTCCATTAGTGACAAATCTCTTTAGCGCTCTTAATCTTTCTAAACGCCTGCAGCCTCTTTTCATTTTTACGCTTCTGCCCTCTTATCGTCTTAGAGTGCCTTTTAAACACCCCATTCCTGATCTGGAAACTTTCCATAAGCCGGAAGAAGACATAGTCCTACTCGATGTACTCAACCAATTAAAACAAACTGCCCCCTCTTTTTTTACGTTAATCTTTACCCTTCAATTTTTAGGGTTTGTGTTAATTTAGTAAAAACATGAAAGCGTTGCAGGATGTTTTTTGTCGCGACTTCTCTCGTGCAGGGTGCTGGCGAACCCTCCGTGACCTGACGAGAATTGCTGTAATTATTCTCGAATTATGGTGTGAATTCTTTTGAAGTTTCCGTCCAGCTGGCGAGAAGGGGCATCCGGTTAACAGACAAATTAGCGAGACCTACAAAGTTAACATTCCGCTCTTGTACTGGCCATATTCGTAACGTAACCTTCTGTATTTATTAAATATTAATCCATTTACGTTTTAGTGGTCAATTGACCAAGTCACTTCTTTCAATTAATTATTCTTTCTATGGAAGGTATTGGTTGAAATGTAAATGTTAGTGTCACGAGCGGGATTCGAACCCATGATCTTCGGCTAAATACGCCGCTGTTCTACCACTTGAGCTATCGTGACTTCGATCCCTCAGACACCAACTCTCCATCTCAACTTACTACTACTTACAACCTACAAACAATTCTGTATTTATTTGTACAACTTCTTTCGCTACTGTTAAGTCAGCCTTATGGCGTTTTCCTCATGAAAACGGTAATCCAAGCTAATGCAATTAAAAAGTTTTCGGTCATCTGCCGGCGTAATCCACCTTCAACTTAGGGTTTCTTTAGCATAGTCTAAAATACTACAGGTTATTGAACCGTATTTTATGAATTTAACATGAGCATAGAAAATTCTTCAAATTTTGCTCAATACTATTTCAGAATCGAACTGGTTACTATCTGGTATACTCAGGGGATATTTCGTTTTGCGTTATCTTTTGTATATTAAGTGTTAATATTTAGTCTGAAACGATGGTGGGATATTGAATTGCCCCAAAGGACCTCAATAAGAATAGTTATAAAATTATGTATTATGTGTAAATGGTAAGGGAGAAATACTACTTGGTATACATGTCTATCGGTTTGTGTTACCTTTTGTGTATACAGGGTGTTCGGCTACTCGTGTTACAATCTTTGCCAGTAGAATCAACATTCCAAAAGAAACCAAAAAGCCCTAATTAACTATGGTCCTAATCTCAACAGTTTCGGAGTTATTCACTTGTTCTTTTAAGTTTTTTAAGATTTCACGACCTTGCTTCAAATAAACAATGATAACTCCAAAATTAAAAGGTTATGGACAAATCCGTTGATACCATTGCAAACCACATTAAATTTCCAATAAGATGTGATCAATACAAAATTTGTAAACGTTGTGAAATAAGCATTTTAGTAGCGAGAACATTGAACATTTTCTTTTTCAAAATTGAAAATTTACTATTTGTATAATTTTTTTTTTAAATTAGTTTTTTCAAAGATGAACAAATTGATGAAGGAAAATAAAAAAGCATGGTTGAAGGATTGGTAAGGTGGAAAGATTAATGATAATAAAAAATAAAAAACTTAAGGACATTTTGAATGAATTTATTAAACTTAAAGTTAATTTTGTTGTTATTAAGTTTAATTTTGATTTGAAATGCTCTCCACCCTCAGCAATGTTATTTTCGACGGGCTGCCGTCACATTAAACCCGCAAAACCCGTACATAAGATGTATATCATCGTATTCTTCATTAGAAAAAATAGCCTCAGTGTGAAATTAGTGTCACATAGATAACTAAAAACGTTTTGAATCTTAAGATTCTTTTATTCCGGAAAATAATAATACAATAATTCTTTAATCAAAGTTGCAGTCGTGTTGGTAAATAAGTAAACACTTGTTACCTTAAAATATTTCGGTTTCGAACCCAAATTTAAATAAAGTTTAATAAATTCTTTCAACATTTTCTTAAGTTTTTTTTTTTAATTTTCCACCATACCAATCCTTCAACCATGGTTTTTTCCTTTCCTTCATCAATTTCTTCATCTTTGAAAAAGTAATTAAAAAAGGAATTGCACCACTAAAAAGGATAATAAATGGAGTACGTTTGTTGAAATTTCCTGGTCTCTAGGTTGGGAAATAGGAGTTACCATAGTAAGTTTTTCAATTTTGAAAAAAAAATTCAAAGTTCTCGCCACTAAAACGCTTATTTCACGAACGGTTATAAGTTTAGTATTGACCATATTTCATTGGAAATTTAACGTAGTTTTCAATGGTATCAACGGAAAACCTTTCAGTTTTGGAGTTATCATTGTTTATTTGAAGCAAGGTCGTGAAATCTTAAAAAATCATAAAAATTGGAACAACTCCGAAACTTCTGAGACTCGGACCATAGTTAATTAGGACTTTTTAATTCCATTTTGAATGTAGAATCTACTGGCGAAGTTTGTAACACGAGTAGCCGAACACCCTGTATAAGAGTGATTGTATTTATTAGAGTGAATGTGTAGTCAAGTGGATGAACCAGGATGAACCAAAGGTTAAAACTTAAACCTAAAAAGTTACACCTTTGACAGTTAGATTTCAATTTTCACGTATTCGAATGTTTGAAATTTAAATAAGATATTTCCATTCTGCATAAATTGCTTCAACTGGAGGTCTAGACAGACGAGATTCTCTTTGTGCCACTTTGTTAAATGTGATTTTCCTCCCAATAAATTCGACGGGATGGTGTTCGCATTGAGTTTCCGCAAGTCGGGAACAAAAAAAGGATCGAAGGAAAGGGGAATTGTCTGCGTATGGGGAGGATGCAACAGGTGGTAGAAAAGTGGAGAGACGAAAGGACGGGGGTCGGCCTCGCATTCTCCGCCCGACGACGGGGCCCCATGATTCCAGTAATCGGCAATAGCCCAAGGGGAAAAAATTATAAAATGGGATAAATCGTAAATACGGGGATAAGACCTTTTATTTCCTCGCCGATACTTCCAAAACAATTGCGTCTTCATAGGTTTGAAATCATTTATATCAGGCTACCCTTTGGGAAAACCAGACATATTTTGTTGTTTTAATAATCTCAACCTACAACCGTTCGAATTTGGCAGCGACTTATGAAGTGGCCATGGGGAGCTGTTAGTAAAGTGATACTTCTTTTACTTATTAAATATTAATCCATTTGTATTTTTTTAGTGGTCAATTGACCATTATTTAGCCGAAGGTCGTGGGTTCGAATCCCGCTCGTGACACTAACTTTTATCTCAACCAAGACCTTACATAAAACGAATAATGTATTGTCAACGTTCATTCAAAATTTAAGTAAAACTTACTCTTTTTTTTTTCAGAATCACTGCAACCGCCCAGGTTCATATCTCAGTCATCATCATCAGGAGGCTTTGTCAACAAAGGAATGTCAAAAATACTACAATGCCAGGCACTAGGTATGTTCATCTGATATTTCTTGTTTTCTGAGTTTTGCGTGAATGAGTTCGAAACTGTTGTTTTACTACATTTTTTGGCATTTTTTTTATATATTTGTGAACAGTTAAAACTGATGTTCATTTGAGATCAGTAATAACTAAACGTGATTTTTCTCGAAATGTCATCTTCTTAATGTTTTACACGTCGTTTAAAGTCTGCCCGAGCTGCAGATGTTTCAACTTGCTTCAAGCACGCATGCAGAACGGCAGAATTATTAAGTACTCGACAACCCAATTACAACTGCAATTTTGCTTCTGGCATATTGTATCAAAATTGCGTTTTGTAAAATGTAAGGAAAAAGACAAAGTGAACATGTAATGTGTAAAAATGTCTGAAGATCTATCCAGCTTATTATAAGTCACGATACATTTATACATTCGTAAAATAAACTTTGTCGATTGTTCATTTTGTTGCCTCTTATGTGCGTTTAAAGTCATTGAATGTTCCTAGGGCGATAAAGGGAATTTTGTCATTTTCAATGTTGCCAATTATAACGATTCATTACCTGCAATTATTATTAATTACTTCGGTTTTATATACAACTCGACGGCACCCCGGAATTCACAGGCTTTCTACCGTTCGGAAATTAAAAGAAAGTCATAATGGATATCCTTTGATTAATAAAATGACTGTGGGAATTGACTCATCTTTATAGATGTTTGCATTCTGTTGCGGAGTTTCTCTTCGAGTAGTTATACTTTCATAGGTGATTCCATATAATTTCAACAATCGGGCGAATTTGGCCGACGAGTTTTCATTACAGAAAATAAATTGGAATTTCTTAGCAGCCTTTGATCCAGACGATCCGACTGAGGAATGCTGCCGCCATCCCGATCTTTGCTGACGACGAGTTCGCGTCCGGTACTCAATCCTTTCAGAAATCGAGTATAAAAGATTCCTCTTCAATAATTTTATGCTCCCCGTCTCGACTTTCTTTTGAAACTTGAATATTACTTAATATAACAGCTTAAAACTCCCGTATAATAAAACGATCGGCTGAATAAAATGGCGTATTTGTCCATTTTACTTATTAAATTCATTAAAGTTCGTGGTCCGATTGACCGAATAACATTTTCAAATTAATTAATCTTTATAGAACGTATTGATTGAGATAAAAAGTGAAGTATATCCTCACCAAAGCTCTCCGTGGCCATTTCATTTGTCGCCGAGAATTGAATCCTGATTACACGACATTTGAAAAATGGCAAAAAGGAGGGAAAATTCGAAGGTAGGTTGAGATGGGAAGTTAGTGTTCCGATTGGATCGAAGTCATGATAGCTCGAGTGGTAGAGTAGCGGCGTTTTAGCCGAAGTCGTGGGTTCGAATCCCGCTCGTGACACTGGCTTTTTTATCTCAATCAATACGTTATATAAAGATTAATTAATTGAAAAACGTTATTCGGTCAATCGGAACAAACTCTAATGAATTTCATTTAAATGTGTTATCGAAGGAAATAAGTAATACCATGTTTTAGATTATTCAATTGTATTTTTTTTAATAAAAGCCCTGGTTTTGTGTTCTGTAAGTTATGTAAGAAGCAGACCAATCAGTAATATCCATTTTAATAAATTGACATTTCCCGCTTGAGAAAATCTCCTGGAAATTGGAATGTTCCTTAAAAATTAATCTGAATTTCTTTGGAATAACAAAAGATGGCCTGCACGAATTAAGAATTTTGATCAAATTCTATATTTCCTGTTTGTTATACCAATTATCGTAAGAACTATCCCAAAGATTTGTACAAAATCAACACGTGAACAGATAGCTAGTGGTTGGTTCATGGTAAACCGATACTTTTCTCTTCCATTTGCCTGGAGACCTCAGTTAGGCGGAACGCTTTGGCTGGGGAGAAGTTAAATAAAACCGACGGCCCTTTCCAATGTTCATTTGTAAACAATATCGTTACTTTTGTAGGCGGAAGGACGAACCTGAATACTGATGAGCCAGTGTAGTACCTAACAAAGATGGACAGCTTAAAAGTATAGAACAATTCTCCCTACCGCATTGAATACACGTCGGATATAAACGTGAAATATCAACGACATCAACTTTGAAAACTGTGCATTTTATTAATTTATAACCTAACTTTCACAAAATCTACGCGCACGATATGTTAATTTAGGAAGAGTCGGTTGAAAGTTTTAGACAATTTATGACGGATATATCGCTCTTTATATAATTATACACTTGGAAAATGCCTTGCTGTTATCCCATTACGCGTTAATCGTTAAGGGAAATATAAACAGTCATGGCCTAGATTATTTTACCAGGTTTTCTCAAGGAACCTGAGTCCTTTTTTTGTTATTCCTCTGAATATTCACGTACGTGAGAACGAAATTATCACTACACTTTCTTCTTGGCAATGGAGAAATCCAGAAGAATGTGACGATAAATGAAAACGTTTTCTACCATTAACAGCAACAAAGAGGCATAATATGTGGGAAGAGAAATATGTAAAAAAAGTACTTTTGCCGGGTGAGAATTGTAGCCGAATGGACATCAAATTGGATAGAGAGAGAGTTTTATACAGCTTTTTAGTCCACTAATTTTATCGATGACGCAAAGGAAAAACATTTATAATTAATTTTTATGCCAATAACCAATTTTCTAAAATAAAATCGAAATTGCAAAATTATAATTTGAAGTAGCATTTTTATTGAATAAGTGACTAAAGTGGGCAACACGTCAGACAAGAATGACACATCTACACGGAAAACAAACACCTTGAGCCCTGAAGATGATCTCAATAAAGGTCGAAACGTTGGCACGATAAAGCAAATGTTTTTTTAAACCTACGTCACACCAGGCCGCATCTCACGATCTCCGAATAATCTAAGTGACTAAGTTAAAAGTAAGGAACTACCTTCCTTCACCCGTTGAACGAACCTAGGACATAAACGTGAAATGTCGACATCTTCGAAAACTGTACACTTTAAGTTAAACTGTGTAAGTTAAAGTGACAATCAAGTTCCTTTCTGAGAATAAAATTTTACCAGTTTCTCCGAAGAAATCCGTGAAGATGAATCAGAATGACACGTAACCTAGATTTCTACATTCAACGGTATATCCTGTAAAAATTAAATCTATTGGGTTGTCCGGAAAATAATGCGGTTTATGGTTATAAAATAAAAACATAAAATAAATTATTTTCATTATGTTTTGAATTAAATTGATTACTGTCAACACACTTCTCCCTGTGATGGCAACTTTGCTGAATAGAATTTTGAGTCTTTTGATCACTCAAGAAGAATTTTTTGATCAATGAAATTTTTATGTCCAATATGTGTCTAAATGTCTAAAAAAAGGTAGTCGGTGGCGAGATGTCTGGAGAATAGGGAGGGCGAGGCAGAACCTCATAACCAGGATCCATCAGTTTTTCTGTTGTCATATGTGAGTCTGGAGCCGAGCATTGCCGTGTAACAGATCTGCCTTTTCCGATTGACCAAAGATGGCTTCCATAATGCCAATGTCTGGAGCATTGCCTCAATTTGAGAGCAATGCATTTCAGCATTGATTGGTGACAGGATACAAGAAGCTGTGGTAAATCAGCCCACATGAAGCCGATCAAAGAGTCATCATCACTTTTTTTTCATAATTTGGGGGGGGGCTTTGGAAAACTTTGTGCTTTTCCTTTGTCCAGCCACTGTCCAGAACGCCTCAGAAAAGTCGGTTTGTTAACCGAAAGATTATCTGCAAATTCTCGAACAGTTGTTCTTGCATGTTCTTCTACCTTCTTTGTTTTCAAGTCTAAAGTCTAACTCCCGAAATTTTTTAAACCATCCTTGAACGGTGTCTCACTCACACTGCCCCAGATTTCATTAATCTTTCTGGCCGTTTGGGCACCGCCCAGACCGAGTTAAATCTCGTAAAACTAAATTACGCGAAAATCACGTGGCCATTTTAGTAAAGACGAAGAATTATTCACAAGTAACGAAATGCTACTGAGTTAAAGAAATATTTGAGTTTGGAACAGGATTAAAAAGTATTTACATTCCAAAGGAATAATCCATCAAACAGTTTATTGGGATGGTTAGGGCGAATTCGACAGGGGTCAGAAAATTCCATGGGGAACATTTGATCAACCCCAGGATCTTTACTTTATTCAGTTAAGCAAAGTTGGATCATTCGAAACAAGTTTATTTGTTGATTTTGTGGGCTAAACTGCCAATTTTATGAGAAGTTTATCACACAGAAACCGTCGTCTCGCTCTAGATCACATATGCATTGTCTCATCAACAAATCCGTCTCTCTCTCTCTCTCTCTCTCTCTCTGTCTCTCTCTCTCTCTCTCTCTCTCTCTCTCTCTCTCTCTCTCTCCCTTCTTTCATCTCTATACATTTTTCTCTTTGTTCTTACATAAAGCTTCGAAGTTTCCCATAAGTCCAGCACCGATTGTTTCTCATTGCACCTTTAGCATTTCAATCGAACGTAGAAGAAGAATATCTGTTGATAGACGAAGACGGAATATTTTTCTAGCGGGTCATGAAAGAAAAGGAAGGGCTCGCGCAACAATGGGGCCGGGACGCTTGGAATTCTGAAGTGACGATGCTTAAAAGGAATAACAGGAACTGAACAAGCCTCAAGCGTTGAATGTTTGATTTTTCCTTATGCACTTTTTTTCTTTTTTCTTTTGTTTTTGATTGTTTCATCATATATAATTGGAGGAAGGGTTTCATGAAAAAAAGGTCTTGGTTGAGTCGAAAAAGCTAATGTCAGAGTGAGATTCCAACCCAGGTCCTTTTGCTAAATAGCTCACTTGAGCTATCGTGATCCTCTCGACACCAACTCCTCTTTTCAACCTACAACCTTTCGAATTTTCTCTCATTTTACAATATTTTCAAATATCGTGTAATCAGGATTCGATTCTCGACGACCTATGAAGTGGCTTTTAGCGAAGTAAGTACTTCTGTAATTAAGATATTAATTATTTTAGCCGTACTAATTATTTTAATTAATTACAC